TTGAATAACTTTTTAAATACTTTCAGCATGAAGTATTTTGAATGGTATTTTAAATACTTTTTTTTGTATTAAATACTTTTTGGTATTGAATACTTTGGTTTTTTATTTCGAACATTTTATTTTTATTCGAAATAATTTTAGAAATTTTAGAATGAATTAAGAACACAAAATAGGTAGTATCACCAATGGGTGGTTTCTTCCCTCAAAAAAAAATCATACGCAAATACCCTATGCACATTTGCTTATTGTTCTAGTTAAGAACAGATTGTAAATTTCATGTAAAAATAAAAAAAAAAAATGTAATAAACATTTATTTAATAAATAATAAATAAAAATGATTATAAATTTACTACCTATGTGTATATATTACAATAATTAGAAACCCACTTTAAAAACCAAAAGTTTTTGAAAAGTATTCCAAATACTTTTTCAAACCTAACCTAACCTACTTTTTCAAAGTATTTGAGTAGTATTTGAAATACTATACAATTAAAGTATTTGAGTAGTATCTTAAATACTTAAAAAAAAATGTATTTGAGTACTTACTCAAGTACTTTTCAAAAGTATTCTTTACAGGACTGTTAATTTATCATGTCTTTCTGTCAGTTATACCCTGCATAATTACGCATAGTCATAAGTAATTAAAAATATAATACAATGGTTGATGATTGATGTGTGTTTAGGGGATGCCCGCTTCAATCCCCTCTTCGCCCAGAATCCATCATATGGCGAAGTTTCAATTATAAAGTTACTAATATTATTATTGCCGTATAATGCGGTATTTAAATAATACTATCTATCGATCAGACACATATATTATGTAATAAATAATAATGATAACAGTAAGAACATATGATATGATGTGTAACGAATATAGGTAGGTACTTGAAAGTTACTTAACCTATTATTATAATTAATAACTTTTATATAATATTTACTTAAGAGGACGTGATACCCGCATGTGTTGTCTCCGTCTTACAAATGCGTAACATACCAAATTTTACGCTCAGCAGAACACGTGTAGCTCCGTTAGTTTAAAAATCAGAGTGAATTGACCTCTTATAAAATCTAAAGGTAAGACTATTGTCTAGGCCAGTGGCGTGGTGGAATTAACATTTTCCAGAGGCAAGTTACAAATATCCCAAGTGATAATGCATAATAATGTATTAAAATAATATGACTAATTATATTTCAGATCATTATTGACAACCTAATGAGTTTATCAAATTGCATTTACTAGGGGACCCACTGGCTACCACCCACCCCTCTATTTAAGAAAAATATCAGAGGCAATTGCCTCTGAAATTACTGTTCACTACGCCACTGGTCTAGGCGACCTCATGGGCTTTTTATTATATTTTAATTTTAAAGCGAGTTATGAGTATTTTAAAATTGTAAATTGTTTGTACATCTCAAAAACCTCATGACTCGCTTTAAAATTAAAACATAATAAAAAGCCCACGAGGTAGCCTGGATAATAATCTTACCTTTAAATTTCATGAGACGTCAATTCACTCTAATTTTTAAATTAACGGAGCTACATGTTACGCACTTGTAAGACGGAGACAACACATGCGGGTATCACGTCCTCTTAAAAAAAAGTTCTCATCGGTTCAGGCCGATCCGAATATATCGTCATCGAGCTCTCTTCACCATAAATAACACCTTAGGTACCCAGATGACAGATCACATGCCACGTTCACAATTATGGCTTACCAAAAAGAGTAAGCCGGTGTGGAAACAGATGAGCGCTAAGTGTATATCCGCGTGATATAATATTAAAATTTAATTGCCAAATCCGTGTTAGGTATATACAAATGTTTATGGGTACTAAATCGGTAGGTAGGATCAATGATTTTTTTCGTCTAAACAAGCCGCCATGACTCAAGAGTCGACTTTAGTTAGTATTATTATTCTTAAATACCTATAGGTACCTACCTAGCTATAGTCGTTATTTGATCTGAATATGTAACTATTTATATATTTATTTAAATGGGTCGAGCTCAATATATAAAACTATATATACTTATTATGATATTGCCACAATATGAACACAGTAACACAGTTGTATAAAAATTGAAAGAAAAAAAACGTAAAGTATCTGATGGTTTGGAATAATAAATTCATAGTAGTACAGTATTCAAATTGGATAAATTTGATAAATAATAATAAGTCACTACATTTTAACGAAAAGTAAAATACACTTGATATTTAAAAGATTGTATTGAATTACATATAAAAATATCGGTATTTACTTTTTAGTAGGTACATTCAATTTACTGTGCGCATTAAACGAATGGATGGGGTATTAAAATCATAATTATATCTCTGACGCAAAATAAAAATAAATTGTATTAGTTCTATTAGAATAAACTGGAACGTATAAAATAAATTTAAATTTAACATTACAAATAACTTAAAGTTGTCTGTGTTTGTTTAAGTTGGCTATTTTATGATATTTCAATTTTTATTCGTGTTTTTCTAGATAGGTATGTAAAATATTATACTATATAAAAATATTCATAAATAGCCAAAAAATCAATCATCATGAAAAATCCAACGTACACACAGGAGTGCTTCGATTTCAACATATAGTACCTTATCTTTAAGCAAATTGAATAAGCAGAAGTATATAATATAGCTGGAACAGGATCCCAGCTGTGGGTCGATGATATTATTAGACCCTTTTTCTTATACATAAACATTAGGTATTTGATCAGTAGCGTATCCAGAATTTTTTTTCGGGAGGGGTTATAATTTATTTTTGTGGAATTTTATCTTAAAATGATTTATTAATGATAACGTTGTTATAATTTAACAATTTTCGGGGGGGGGGGGTTACAACCCCCTAACCCCCCCTGGATACGCCACTGTATTTGATACAAATATTCAACACGAAAAGAATATAAAATCATTTAATAACAATAAAAGTATTAATGTATCACTTGTTTTACATACAATACTGCGTGATACTTTTACAATGCCTACCTACCATGTGACCATGTGACCATGACCTGGACGGTGCAGTCGAGTGTTTATATTATTATGTTTATACACTGACGTTGTTTACTCTGCAATTTTTATAGCCATTCTTAGGCAACTTTTAAAAATCATATAAAAAATATGTGAAATAATAAAATTATTGATGCGTGAGTTCGGGGGGTGCTAATATGCTCCACCTACATGGCTATATGGTGAAATACTTATACATTAGACTTAATCTCCCCAAACAATTACATTATTATACAATTGTATAGAATACAGTTAGGTAATACAATAATACCTACACAAAATAATAAAATGTTTAGTGTGTGTTCGGGGGGTGCTATGCTCCACCTATGCTGAAGTACTTATGACTTACGACTTAGTCCCCTCAAATGTTGACCCCAAGTCCATCAATTTAAAAATTAGTGTACGTACCTAGTGGGTGTACTAAGATCATATATACATTTTAGAATATTTTAGAGTGTGAGGACTTCACTTCCCCCTAAAAATGTGGTCCCTGTGTGCAGATTCTGGTGTCATATTATCGACTATATAATATAGTCTTATTATGATTATATAATAATAATATTATGAGCCGGGGCACAGATTGGCATTAGTTCTGGTCGAGGCTCAAAAATGTTAGAACACCACCAGTACCAGAATTTGGCAAAATTATATTACCATGAAGAGCTTCGCTACTCTCCCTGGGGACCCCCACACTATTTTTGTAAAACAATTTATTATAATAGGTAATATAGATATTCAAATTTTGTTTAATATTGTGAAGTCCTTATAAAAACGTAATTAATTTATAAAAAAAATAATTATTATAAATAATAATTACAGGGATTTAATATTATGAGTTTTTCATTATTATTATTATAGGTATACCTGCAACGCACTACAACTGTCAATTACCTATATAATATAAATGTACCATAATAGAGTTTTAAATTTTCATAAGACCTATTTATTATTTTTTATCAGAGCTGAAGATCTACTGTTGCATAATTATTGGTTAAATAAGTACTCATAATACATAAAAATAGGTTTACTACAATACGATGAAATCAAAAATCGCACACTTACACAGATAAAATACTGGAAAAATCCCCATACTATATTAGTGGGAAGAATATCACAATTCAAGACAAAATTTGGTGCTTTGGTAACATTGGTAAAAGTTTTGGACGGTCCTAAATCATAATACAACTAGTCAATAGACTAAAACCGCGGGACTTAATTAAAATACTGAGAGGTATTTTGCTACACAATAAACCGATAAATTTGGGATTTTATGTTTAGACTTTTTTTGAATGGAATTCATAGGTGTGCGTTTTTTGGATGCAACCCTCCAATTATTTTCAATGCAACTAATAAGTTGCTGAACACACTACAGTCTACACGACTTTTATTTGCTGTTTCATTTCAAAAAAACAATTTAGTAAATACTCGAAAGTTAAATAACTATTTGCCTATGGTTATAAGCGTGTAAACATACAATAATTAATATGCTCTCGGCACCCCGAGTTCAGACCCGACCTGAATATATCATCATCACGCGCTCTCTTCAACAGTTCAACAATAACACTTCATACGAATCACATGGCCACGTTCACAATAATATTATGGCTTAGAAAAAAGGTTAATATTACGTATAATTACGGACACTTGATGTAATATTATATAAATTAATCGCCCAATCTATATGTTATAATATTTATTGGTACCTATACTGCCCACCTCTATATCGGTGCATACCTATATAGGATCAACGGTTGTTGTACGCCTATATAAACCCCCAATAGTTGTCGTCATACCACCGTTCTCTAATCGATTCAATACGGACAATACCTATGTATAATAGGCTATATAGTCATTATTATTCGATCCGAGTAAATTAATATAATATTTTCATTACAACTGCGAATTCACAGTTTCATTAAATAATACTATTAATATAGTAAATAATAAGTAGGTACCAGCAACCTATTGTTATTAGTACTGTGACAATTATGGTTCAATTCAACAATGTTCCGGTAGTGGGCCGTAATGGATACATTGAAGCCGATACTGCATTCCATAACGACATTTCTCCTGTAAAAGTAGATCTTGTCTTTGGAAGTAAGTAATAAGCAACATAGGTATATATTTTAATTGTATAAAACAACCACATAATTCGTTAATGCACAATAATATTCTACCTATACACAAAAAAATCACATTTTTACTTACCTTCAGAAATTATGATATTTTAATAATATGCTATATCCATATTGAATATGTATTTTTTTAAGAACAATACATATAGTCAACACATTGTTTAATTTTAAGTGAAGAAGTATATAGTCCTGAAAAATGATGTTTTTTGAGTTTTGACACTATTCTTGTGAATTAGAGTTTTGTCATAATGTCATATGTCATACCTATTATTATTCGAATTCAAATATAATTATGCACTTACATATTATGTTGTTATACATATTATACAAAAATATACAAACTGTTGAAAATAGGCAACTTTATAATATTTAATAAACTAAGTTTATACTATAATTCTCTTATTTAGTCATTAATTAGGTACTATTCATTATACCTACTTCATTCATCGTTCCTGGGCTTAAAAAATTGTCATTAACTATGACAATTAAGGTGGGGGCTTGGGGGGGACTTAGCACTCCAGTTTTTTAATAATATTTTATATTTAAAATATAAATAACCAGAGTCCGTGCTGCTGATACAATTAGAAAGAAAAATGTCCCTAGTTGTGCTTATGACTATACCTATACTATTTTAGTGGGATTTTAGTTTCATAATGGTCGTCATAATTATAATATTTATTTTTAATAACTACTACTTATTGTTATAGCTTTCAGATCAGAAGATACTAGTCAGTATTTATTACCTGTGGTTAAGAGAGCAGAAAACATGGTCGTAAATGACACTTCGAGTCACGATTACTTATCACCGACAGGAATTGAAGGTTTTACAAAATCAGCAAGCAGCTTATTGTTAGGGGATATTGATCAACTGTGGAAAGAAGGAATGGTAAAGCCTTAAAATATTGCCATTTATTTTTATATCAATTAATTATTGTAACATTAACGTCATAGGCATAGCCATTTTACCATATTGTATAGTAATATTATTGTACAACTGAATTTAATTAATGTGTTTGAACATGGCAACCGTGATAATATAGAATTTTCATTTTTCATAAATTTGCAAGTACCTACCTAATTTTGAGTGTTACATTTTACGTAGGTATTTGGTGTTCAATGTATTGGTGGAGCCGGAGCTTTGAAAATCGGTGCCGAATTCTTATCGCGGTATATGAATTGCACAACTGTTTATTATCCTGACCCATCATATGGTTGGTATTTTTGTATTTAAAACACCGTAAATTATTTTCAGTATCAAGTCGCCTAAAATATTTATCAGTTTTTTATAGTCAACTTTTCTGTATACAACTGAACTGTTAGTATTAATAAAAATGTAAATGAATGATAAATACATTTACATGGTTTAATGCTTATTAATAATAACATGTTAAATTACTACATTTTAATACATTTCTATTATATTTGTTGTCTTAGTATGTGTTTAAAATTGCCTATGCGTACGGTACCTAACCTTTAAATTTAGTGATAGTATAGGTAGGTAGTTTTCTCCGGCTAACTATCGCTCGAACAGTACAATTTACTTTTAGAACAATCCATTTTACTTTGTTATTTTTTATATTAAAAATGCTCATAACTTGTTACCAAATAATTAGAACATCCAAGCAAGTCTTCTGCAAGGGGCTCTAAATATAATACTATCTTACATTCAAATAATACAATAGATCCATTCACATTTTGGATTATATGTTTCATTATATATTTTGTAGGTATAATTCATTAACTATTATGTATAATATGTACTTAGCTATTATTCATAAAACTATGTTTGCAATCAAAGTAAAGACACATTTTTAATACTGAAGCGTATTAGATAAACTATACCTTAGTCTTAGTATTTTGCGCAAATAGGGGGAATTAAGGACTAAGCCTCTTCCCAAATGTCCATAGCAACACAAAGATTTCCTAAATTTTGTTTTAATCTAATAAAATATTTTTAAAGTAGAGCTTTAGTCAACCCAAATCTCAAACTTTTTTTGCACCTATGATCTTAGTAGGTAGCAAGGTATAACTTTTCGTTTTAAAATTAAATCTTAAATTATCATTATGCATACTTTTCAGAAATACACGGAACCATATTCGAGTTTAGTGGATTTCAAAACACGTTTGAATATCGTTACCTGAATAGAGAAACTAAAGCAATTGATTTTGATGGACTTTGTGAGGATATTTCTAATGCGTCCGTTGATTCTGTCGTAATATTGCATGCATGTGGTCATAATCCAACTGGTTTAGATCTGACTAAAGATCAATGGATAATCATTGCTGAAATTATGAAAGTAAGTTATTGGAATTCTTAATACCTACCATAGCACAACCTACTCGGGTACTTGAAAATTAATCATTATATATTACGACTGTACCTACTTCAAATATTGTAATTATTCAGGAACGTAAATTGATACCATTCTTCGACATTGCGTATCAAGGAATGGCGTCTGGAGATACTGAAGAAGACGCCTGGGCGATTCGTTATTTCCATAGTGAAGGGATCCAATTTCTATGCGCACAATCATTTTCCAAGATGTTCACTATGTATAGTGAGTACTGAATGATCAACTAAACTACTTTAATTTAAAACGATTATCACCAATAAATGAATCATAATATTCATTTTCTATTAGACGAACGAGTTGGCAACTTGATGGTTGTACTCAAATCTGGTTTTAACAGCGATAGTCTCAAGATCCACTTCGAGAGAATCGTCAGGAGTCTTTACTCTAATCCTCCAAACCACGGTGCTAGGACCGTTTACCAAATATTATCCAATCCTGAATTATATAAAGAATGGTAAAAATTATTTTACATCATTCTAACTAAATTAGATGATTAAAAATTAAAAAATCATTGTTTGAATAGGTCAAGCAGTTTCAAATCTATGGTCGTTCGGATTATAGAAATAAGAAGAGCTTTCCGTAAAGCTCTCGAGGAAGAAGGTGCTCCTGGAAAGTGGAATCATATAACAGATCAAAAAGGGATGTTTATATTGTTACTATTGACAGGTAAATAAGTTGAAACAATATAGAAATTAGAAACTAAAAATACATAAGTTAAAATTACACAATTTAAATACCTATAATCTTACAGCGCATACTAATCCAAGTGTTTAATTTCAGATAGTCAAGTGGAGTACTTGAGATATTTTCATCACATTTATATGGTAAAAAGTGGACGGATAAATGTTACTGGATTGAATTTCACAAATATAAGTTATGTTGCTAAAGCGATTAATGATACATTAAGGAAAAACATATAAAATTCCCCTATGTAGAACCTATGCCACCAATCGACTTCACTAGGTACTGCTGCTATTTGTAATAACTAATAACTTATAATTTATCTTTCTTTAAACGTATGTATCAATAATCGTTACAATTTATAATAATTTTAGTATTTTAGATTTCACTTGTTGAATATTTATGAATTATGAATAATAAACAACTCTAATAATCCAATATTTATTATATTTTTTTATTTATTTTGAACTCGTTATTTAAGAATATAACTAAAGTCTAAAAGTATGAAACACTTATTATTTAAGCATTATAGTTTGTAACATAATATACGTTACGAAAATCTATGCTATGAGCCACATAAGATATTTTTATTTTAAATTATATTAATATAATATTAGGTAGGTATCCTAAGGATAAACAACTCTGAATTACCAACTATACACAGATAAAAAAAAATAAGATCATGAATCTAAGACATAGCATACACATAAAAGATTTACACATTATTGTAAAACCTATACGTTTCTTATTGTTTGGATCAATCTAATAGCCAAATATTGTATTATTTAATTAATTAAAATAATAAAATATAAATATATTTACACAAATTTGTAATAATGAATAGGTACCTAATCAGTATTCACAAATATTTAAAATATACTTTTATAGACAATTTTATATAAGTTTCGTCATTATATACAGGAAGTTTAGTTTTATTAGCTAGTTATCTAGTTGAATACTGACATATTTAATTTGACAAATTTCGTGGAACTTTAAACGTTTATAAAAAAATGTTAATATGTATCTTAGAATTTTTTAATTGTGGTGAGCTAAATTTATAATTAACCTTATTTATGATATTTGTAAACTTTTACGAGTGGGGCAGACTAAATATTTTTTTCTTTTAATTAATTTATAAAAAAAAATAGTAATTATTTATACATATCTTGGCTGTATATATTTTTTTTATATAATTTTAAATTTGTGCCTAGGTACCTTAAATCGTGTGTATCTATTTTATATAGAACCTCGTCGTCATCAATAAATTATGTGTTGCTGGAAAAAGTTTCCCTAATTCACGAATTCATCAATCAATGTTTGCCGATCCATGTTTGTTAAACATTATACACAAGGTGTTCCGTGTTCAACAGATTTGAAAACGCTTTTAATCTTTATTCATAGGTATTATGCGTTAACGTGTTAATATTTAATCACCTATTTAATTATAACATAATACCAGTCCTTATTAGTCTACTAAATTATTGTTTCCGAACGTTTTGAACATCCTCTATATATGTATATCGTATATAATATTATGTGTGTTACTCTGAGGGAGGGGAGCACCTGAGCACTACACTCCCAGGATTCTGTTTTTTAGATAGTACTTGGCAGTCGTACCATGGCTACTGCTAGATGAGTAGCTTTACAGTAAAAAAGTGTATGTATTTTGTTATTTTGTTGTTATTCAAAAACGAATAACTGTAAATACATGAAAATTATAATGAATGTTAATATTTTCATTTTCTGTACCCCATAACATTTTGACTCTTTTTGATCTGTTTACGGGTATTCTCAGTTTTCATTTTTTTAGTTTTTTTTTCTATAAATATCAATAAAAATGTATTTGTTGGGTAAAAAAGCGTGAAAATTTAATGTAAGGCCCCTCATATATTGTTACAATAGCAGTTGAAAAACATTAAAAATACATAGGCACAATTTTTTTTTTATAAGAATTTAAAGTTCAAATTTTGACAAAATACATCAAATTTTAATTTTAATAATTATTTTTAGTTAAAAATGTATAAAATTTCAAATTTTATAGCTAAGGATTAAAAATTTAAAAAAAGGTTCTACATAAATAGGTTTATATAAATAATTACTTTATTCACAATAATATCATAGGCTGACTAACCGTTTTCGCTCAGAATCGTTTTTCTTATACAATGATATTATATCATTGCATTCAAATTTAACACCATCCATTACAGTGGCCCACTTGTAACCTACTGTACAGCAGAGCGACCTCCACTTACCCACCTTTTTTCTATTTCATTTCTATCATCAATTTAGTGCTGGGATTTAAACACCATTAAAAATTTCGAAAATTGTCTTCAAAAAATACATTTATGACTTAAAACCTCTAAAATATGCCCTTCCATAAAATTAATTTATGACCTTTAAAGTTTAAGCTCTAAAAGACGTCCTGAAAAATTTCGGGGAATTGTCCCCGGGTTTCTTCAGAAATCAATAGATACAGTAAAAAAAAGTTTTTAATTTTTGAATGGGTGGTGCTGGCGAGACTTTCATAATTTTTTGAAGTGTTTTATTATCAACCAGATTACCTTCTGTATTGTTTTATTACAATAATATATGTGTTATATATTGTATATATTTTGTAATATAACTAGATATGGATTAAAAAATTACCCAAAAAATAAATTATGTCCATAAAAACGTTTAAAAATGCACTTAAACGTCAAAAATGCTCCAAAAAAATTCGTCGTTATAGTAGGGTGTACTTGAAACACGCATTTGTGTGATTGTGTCTTGGAAAACAACGTGTCAAGAATTCCGGAAAAAAGCATTCCTAGTTCTAAATTCGTCATATATAATAGCAGTTTTAGTGAAGGAGACTTTTATTTTTTATTTCTGATATGCTATTACTCTGTTCAATATTTATAATCAAATACTGAAATACTGTATGAGATAACGTTGGTAAATGGTAATATATATTGTTATGCAATAAATTATTCCTTGATCCACGGGTTGAGTTAAAGATGTGCTCGGTGGGATCCAAGCAAGTTTGATAGGTATTTGATAAAGTGGGTTTTGAATAGCAAGCTGCAGAGCAATTATCTACATACAAATTACGTATTCATGTTACACTAACAATTTATTATTTCAAAAATAAATAAAAATTTACCTTTTAACCGTGCTTCTTCAATTTCATTTTGATTCTTAAGTGTATTATGTCGTAAACTTGTACCACACGTCGGTCGTATCTGCAGCAGAACATTGCAACAGGTAGGAGCCTGATTTCTTCTCAACAGGTGCCCGCCGCTGATGGTTTGATGACAATTGTTTTCAATAAACGTCGTTTGATACAAATATGCAACTAAAACAATTAAAAATTACTTAATTACAATACAAGTACTTATTAATTTATAACTTTAAACTTATAATAGCATCATATACTTGTACAATTTTATACCATTCGACAATCGTCTGTATTATGGTGTCGACTGTCGAGTGTTTTGTATATGTATGTGTTGTATGGGATTATAATAGCAATTAATAGGTTACTTTAATACAATAACTCTATTATTAATATAAAATGGATGCAATGGTTGATGTGTGTTCAGGGGATGCCACATTCTGCAGACCCCGCATTCGCCCCGAGTCCGTCTTATGGTTAAGTATCAATTACATAATCGTATATCATAATGATTAATGATCAATGGTGCCTATCGATCAGACACATTGTGTAATAACTAATAAATAAATAATAAAGATAGATGTAAGAACATAATATGATGTCGATGTGTAATGAATATAGGTAGGTAGGTACTTGAATGTTACTTAACCTATTACTATATATGAATAATAAAAAGCGTATAGATATACTTTAAAAAGAGATTCTCGGCACCCCGAGTTCAGACCCGACCCGAATAATATATCCTATCATCACGCTCTCTTCAACATTAATAGCACCTTACACAACTGACAGATCACATGCTACGTTCACAGTTATATGGATTACAAAATAGAGTATAAGCCGGTGTGGAAGAGCACTAAGTATGCATACGCGTGATATAATATTATTATTTAATTTCTAAATCCATGTTATTAGGTATATAGAATAATATTTATGGGTACCTGCTATATATCCGTGCGTGGGATCAACGAATGGTTTTCGCCTGTATATAAACCACCATAAACCGTTGTTAAACAATATTGTATTGCTACCTATGCAGTAGGAACTTGGCTCTAATAGTCGTTATATTTTGATCAGAGTAACTTATTAATATCTCAACCAAATTCACAAATTGTTCTGAACGTTTTTAACGCGTATATATACTGTACGACAATGGCACGTATTCTATTTAACTAAACGTTATATTTTATTCAGTTAATTACATAATACACAGTATATATTATAGTAGGTCTATAACATAAAAATACTTGGACAGTTTATTTTAACTAACCTATTATATTGCAACAATTATGGTTCAATTTAGCGATGTTCCTGTAGTAGGACAGGTTGGATATATTGAAGTCAATACTGCATTCCAAAACGACGTTTCTCCTCTAAAAGTAGATCTTATCTATGGAAGTAAGTAATATACAATAGTTGGAAATATAAACCTATTACCTATGCCCAAGAATTTGCACACCTATCAAAAAAATTAATTTTTTTATTATTCAACTACAAAGATATACATTAATATGAACATATGTATATTAATATATATAGGCAGGTACCTATATTAAATATGTATTACAATATAATATACTTCACATTTAAATAATATTTATATCGTCCATGTATAAACTATGTTCAGAATAAAACCGTTTATAAATATTAATAATTACCTAGTTTTACATTTTCATATAATTGTCCTGAAAAATCCCATTTTTTTAAGTTGTGCCAGTTCTTGTGAAACATGTGTCTTGTGTCTCATTTATAATGCCATAGGGCATAGGTGATAGGTAGGTAGGTACCTATATAGTAATTGTTATTAGTGAATATAGTATTGCTTACGTAGGTATAATTAAAATGCAAAAAATATAAAATTCAGGACAATTATATAAAAATGTAAAACTAATTATATTAAGTTACCTACTTCTATCATTATTTTGGTCTTATAAATTATAACCTTAATTATACATCTACATTAATAATATTTTGTTTTAATTTAGCAATCATTAATAGTTTATAATAATCACACATAGAAACCTAAGAAAATAGTGGACTGTGTGGCCCAAATATTTTTGATAACTGATTAATAAATTACATAAATTCTCGATTATTATAGCTTTCAGATCGGAAGATGGTAGCATCTATTTATTACCTGTGGTTAAGAGAGCAGAAAACATGGTTGTAAATGACACTTTGAATCACGATTACTTATCACCTACAGGAATTGAAGGTTTTTCAAAATCAGCATGCCGTTTATTATTAGGCGATATTGAAAAGCTGTGGAATGACGGAAAAGTAAAATATTATTATTTAATATTAAAGACGTAGTATAATATGATTATTATTATTATTATTATTATTATATAAACGCATTATTGTATAACATTAATTTCATTGTCATAATGCCCTGCATAATAAATTATTGTACAACCGAATTTAAATCTATATATACTCAATCCTCAATTTGGGATTTTAATTTTTAATGATCAATTTACAAGGACTTAATTTTAATGTTACATTTTATGTAGGTATTTGGTGTTCAAAGTATTGGTGGAACCGGAGCTTTAAAAATAGGAGCTGAATTCTTATCACGGCATATGAATTGCACAACTGTTTATTATCCCGATCCGTCATGGGGTTAGTAATTAAAAATTCCTATTAGCTAGGTATATTTAAGTTATATTTAAGTACCTACCTGGCTACCTATCTAAATAGATAGAAATTAATACATAGTCACAATATTTTTTTATAAGCGTTATTATATGCGTTATACCTACGTAATACGCGTATCCGTACGTCCTTATCTCGTAGTAATTGAACTATTTATGTGTAGGTTTCTAACGTCTGCTATTATATTTGTGACGATATGCTATAATAAATAATTTAATGTAAAAAATATGATTTTTTTGGGGGGGGGCTCCCTCCTGGTGCATCACTGCGGGTCTATATGAATTATGCGATTGTATTATGTTATAATAAACAACAAACTTCTAATTGCTATAAAATGAAGTTTCCACGAAATTCTGATTTCACATTTTCAATTTTCACCATCGTTTTCACTTTTTATTACCTATACAAACATGAAACAATAATACAATTGTTTGCACGAAAATTATTTTTAAAAAAGTCACCCACACGCCCCGTAATGTAACTATTTGATTCTAAGTTATGAGTAAGGTACTTTAGGTGTTAGATCATAGATTCTTAATCTTCTCTAGGCCATGGGCCCCTTTGAAGTATAAAATATACGGACCCCCCCCCCCCAAAAAAAAATAATATATAAATAAATAAATAAAATTTTTATTTTAATATTTAATTTTTTTTAATGATAAATCTAAGACTTAATACTACATTCAATTATTGTGAATTATCACTTTTTCTTATAGCCTAAAACCAATTTTATTGTGACATTTGCTGTTGTTTTGATTGCAATATTGCCTTGAAATCTGGGACCGTATTGGACAGAGCAACACGCATATCGTCCTTAATGTCCAATCGATTTCTTGCTTTATTTTAATTGTGACCATTGTAACAAAATCCAGACTCACAGATATAGGTAGTTGGAAATGGAATCAAAAATGTCATTGCCATGGATACAGCTCGCGGATAAGCCTTCGTCAACGAACACCAAAATTCGATTAAATTTTTTGTTTGAAAACCGTGGCGTGCCATTTCTTTTGATCTTAAATCAATTAATTCGTCTTTAACGAGGTCTGAATCATTAATTGTATTTAATTCCACTAGAAAAGGATTGCGTATCCATGTTTCTGATTTCGAAAATGTAGAATCGAAAAAATTGAATACAATTTAAGCCAAATTAATTTTCAAGCAAAACAAAATTGTTGCTTAGTGGCAGAATACGGGCAGGCCATTATTAATGTTATCTTAAAAACTCTATCGAAACAAATTTATTTTTGCGTTATCTAAAAAAACTCAGTCACCCCATGGACCCCCGGTTAAGAACCTATGTGTTAGTTACTTAATAGCATGGTTTCACTAAGGGGTTTCGAGGAGTACTTTTTCTATCCCATAAATTTTTTGGGGGTAACAATAAAGGTATCGTTATGATACGGCTACCATAAAATTATATTCTCCTGCTATAATCTAATAATATAAGTTCAGTTAACTGTACAATATACTAAATATATATACAAAATATATTCATGTTATAGTAATACTAATTTTTCCACGGTTGAAAAAATAAGCGCAGAAGACAATTTTTATTAATTATTTTTTTTTTTGCTACCTACCCTACAATTTAGTCTATATTATAGTGACGCCGACAGCTTATAGTCATAATAGCATCTAACTTTTTGGTTTTATAATTATTAATTTTTTTCAGAAATGCATGGAGCCGTGTTCTCATTTAGTGGATTTCAAAATAAAATACAATATCGTTACATGAATAGGGAAACTTTAGAAATTGATTTCGAAGGACTTTGTGAAGACATTTCTAATGCACCCGTCGATTCTGTAGTAATATTGCACGCATGTGGTCATAATCCAACTGGTTTGGACCTGAGTAAAGAACAGTGGAGAACTATAGCTGAAATTATGAAAGTAAGTTAATATTGCTTAATACCCACCAGTGGCGTAGCGTAATACTTGGTAGTTGGTAGGTACCTAGCCAAAGGAAGAAGACCCCTTAAGCACAGCAATTAAATTATAAGTTATAAATATCGATGCTAGAACAATGGCGTCATTCGGGGGGTGGCAACTGGGGCATTTGCCCCAGTCTAGTATTTACATCAAACTTAAGTCGGCACATTTAGCCCTCCAACTATGGCACTATGAGAATGTGAGTGAAAAAAATGTTGAGTCAGATAAGCAGTGAAAAGTTGCCCTAGTACATATTAATTGTTTTACTACAAACTTATTTAAAATAATATTGTTGTATATTTCTAAACTCGAAAATAAACTTTATGGGTCTTGATTTGAAATAATGACTAATTTCTCAATATATAAATGTCATAAATCATAATAAAATAAAATTATCTTCCGAGGCTCTCCAACTCGGACGTACTTTTTGGGGCACGGTGAAAATACGCCACTGATATGTGTACTTAAAAACTAATCATTATAATATTATTATGGTTGTGGTTAAAATTTCAAAATTCTTCAGGAACGTAAATTGATACCGTTCTTTGACATTGCCTATCAAGGAATGGCGTCTGGAGATATTGAAGAAGACACCTGGGCCATTCGTCACTTCCACAGTGAAGGATTTGAATTTCTATGCGCACAATCATTTTCCAAGATGTTCACTATGTATAGTGAGTTATCAACTATAAACTACTTAAACCTTATGAGCTTACCTATAAATCTACAACATGGACACGTCGTATTAATCATACATTCTTAATTTTCTATTAGACGAACGGGTTGGCAACTTGACGATTGTACAAAAATCTGGTCACAACATTGGAAGTCTTAAAGTCCACATCGAGAGAATCGTTAGAAGTCTCTACTCTAGTCCTTCAAATCACGGCGCTATGGCGGTTTTCCAAATACTATCCAATCCTGAACTTTATGACGAATGGTAAACTATTGTACAACATTCTAAACAAAATTAGATAATTAAATATGTAAATATTATCATTGTTTGAATAGGTCAAGCAGTTTCAAAGCCATGGCTGCTCGAATGATAGAACTGAGAAAAGCTTTTCGAAAAGCTCTCGAGGAAGAAGGCGCTTTTAGAAAGTGGAACCATATAACAGATCAAAAGGGAATGTTTATATTGTTACATTTGACAGGTAAATAAATTGAATAGAAATTAGAAACTGAAAATACATTGGTTAAAATTATACAATTTAAATAATCTTAAAGTGCAATGTGCATACTAATCCAGGTGTTTATTTTCAGATAACCAAGTGGAATATTTGAGAAATTTTCATCACATATATATGGTAAATTCTGGACGGGTAAATGTTACTGGATTGAATTTCACAAATATTAGTTATGTTGCTAAAGCAATTATTGATACATTGAGGAAGAACGTATAAAATTCCACTGTGTAGTACCTATTTGGGTAGTATTTGTACCCACCTACCTCAATAGCTTCTGCTGCTAATGACTGCTTTTATAATCCATCTGAACTTAAACTTGTTTCGATTGATACAATTATTAATAATTTTAATATTTCAGAATGTTTGTTTATGACTTATAAGTAATATAATATTATATCATGTGTACCATTTATTTACTTTTTTTAAATAATATTTATACCTCTCTAGGGAAACTGACACTCTAAATTTCCAAATTTAGGAACAAACTAAAATTACGTCACTAAAACGTACTCAGCTAGTCTGCAAAAAAAAAGTATTACATATTAAATTATTGTATCATCTATACTTTTCTTATTGCTTTGCTCAATTTGAAAGTTAAAACCATTAATTAATTCAACCAATTAAATACATAATATATTAATATTTAGTATATACACAATTTCATACAAATTATAATTATTGAAAATATATTTATAAAATTAAATTTAAATAATTTAACATTTCTAATAAACATCTAAGATTTTATCTCATAATTTGACTAAAAATATAAACATACTATCTTTAAACATAAATAATGTTAAAATAAAATATTACCACCGTTTACAAAAAAATGTTAAATCAAATTGTTTTTATTACAAAATAAAAAAGTATGTAATTTTAACTTTTTGAAATGAAATTTATTTTAATAAATATTATGGACTTACATATACTTGGAAAAATGCCAGTTTTAATTTAAATAAGAAAACTAGATATATAAACATAGAATAGTCACCAATGAAATTACTTATAATAGTTAACATGATAATTTGCCAAATTGATTTCTTATAAATAAAATTATTTAACCTCCAATTCGATACAATACAATATATGATGTAGCTGTTATAGTTTTAATAAAATACATACATTATAACCAATGTATGTTAGTACATATAACTTAGTTATATGAATTCATATATACATTGTTTTAAATACAATACTATTAACTATTTACATTGTACACGATGAGAACATTTATAACATTATTAAGCCATTTAGAAATTTATAGTTCTAGCTTCTGATGGAAGTTGTTCTTTAGGACAATATGGACACTTTAATCTACCAGATCTTTCCAATTTATTAAGTGCATCTTTGGATATTACATGGCCACATACTAACATCATAGGTGGATTAGATGTTCCACTTCTAGTTCTTAATATTGGACAAGCAAATACTGAATGATACGCAAAACCAGTGTCGATTTTGATTGGTAATTCGTCATTTTCATTCCAAACTCCTCCAACATCTCGACAAATTGCGTGTTTAATATCTAGTAAAGCTGGTAATGCTGAACAACCCACATTCACACACACACTCAACATATCGTCATCACTAAGACAAGAATCTTTTATAAACAGGTCAATAACTTCAGTACGCATTTGTGCAACATTAGGTGGATACAATAACATACCCATTGTGGATTGGATTTCCTTTTGTTTGTCAATAAAACGACTGAAATTTGTGCGAGCATAAACAACTGCTTCATATTGATCGCCACGATTAAGAACATCTAAAAACACAATTTGGTGCAATTTAAATTCTAGATCTGATTTTTTGGCATCTAGCTGAACTTTGTTTTGATATACCCATTCAAAGGCTGGCATAGGATCTTTTTGTCTCAAACTATCAACAATATGGTTTAAATTTAAATACCGTTGTTTTAGTTTATCGTCAACTGTAATACCAGCTTCTTTTAAAAATTCTTCAGCAACTTCCCATTTTGAATCCCGGTACAAATGCATACAAATGATTTTGTTTAGTATTTCTTTTTCATGGTTGGTTTTAAACGCTTTTTGATTACTGGCTTCTGTATAGTCAGCAATAAAATTTTTGTCAATAGTTTTTCCTACTCTTGAAACATCGCTATGCCATCTTCTGTGTTCGTTCGAAATGTCCTTTATGGCGAGTTTCATTTGTAAGATTGTTGAAGAAAGTCCACACTTATCTATTTCAGAACTTTGACTTTCAATTTCTCGTTTGTACCGTTCTAATGTCGAAATAAATCTGTGTAGTTGGAATTGCCATTTCGGTCCATATTTATTATATTTGGCAATTAATTTGTCAATATCGGCCTCAACGGCTAGGCAAGAATCCATATTTAAGTAGAATAATTATGTGCGGATAAAATAGGGCTAAAGGTTGTAATACTAAAACAATACAATTTCAATCCCATTTGGATTGTCTTTGTTTGTATACTTCATGGCGGCCATCTTCTGCAACAGCTGGATAATATCCCATTTTTTCATATTGGTGTCTCATGTACACTAGATATCCAAATGTGAATGATATTGACACAAGTCCTAATGCCATGATGACTTTATTCTGAAAAAAATTACAAACATATTAAACTCTAACTTAATAGTGCCTAACATAATAACATATGTTTCTATATTACACTTTATAAAGCAATTTGTTATAAGCATTCTATATTCCATACAATTATAAGTACATATTTGAGAAAATTGCCTCTCAAAGATTCTAAAAGTATCTTAAAGGCTAGCTGGTACCTCCACGGATCTACCTATCTATCTTTTAGTTATATTAAATTGTAGAAGCTGAAAAATAACAGCATGTAGGTAAATACTTAAGTAGGTACACATTTTTTTTTTTTAACAAGTTTTGAAACTCATTTAAGAGTTTTATTGCCCAAACTGAAGAAATAACAGAATGATGATTAGGTATATTGTAATATATTACGATATAGAGCTTAGGTAATAATCAAAAATCATTGGAAATGCCGAATACAATTTCATAAATAAACCTGAATGACGAGAATTCATGACAATTATTAGTTGTTAGGTATTGTTTTCTTATTCAACATAATAAGACATTAAGACGTATCTAGTGGCGTTTCGGCAAACCATCGAAAATCGACTCATCGTTTAACATAAAAAATATTGATAGATTGAAATAGGTATAACATGTCATATTACATTACCGGTTTCGAGTAAAGCTCAAAGTTGATGATCCGAAACACTCTGGAAGTTTTTAGAGATCTAATACCATCTCCTGGTGCGGATTGCCGATCTTTCATCACTCGGGACGGATTTTCAACACCACCTCGAGATGGAAACGTACTCACAGTACGGTCGTAAAAGTAGAGTTGTCCGGTAATCGCTCGGCGTTGTGTGTGATTCTTATTTCTTGTTCACAGTCTTTGATTTTCTAAAGGTGTTCGAACTCGGAACGACAATAACAACAGTATACAAAAACGACAACGTCGTAATAAAAACTAAAAAAACAATTTTTTATCAACGACGGCCGCCAAGACAATGGCTAATGAGGGCAGAAGGCCAATGAGCATTGAGCTGTGGAGTAGTGGTATCATGAACTATGGAACGTAAATCGAATGGTAAAAAAAAATAATATGTAATTATCAAGTGAGATAACAAACGGTTCTTATCAGTGTAATGGAATAGAAGCACGTAAACGTACCGCCACGTACCGACGTCAAAACCCGGTACGAATCACAGATTTCTATATATTAGTATAGAAGTCTGTGGTACGAATTGATACGTATCACGGCTGTAACGTTTTAACGTATCGTAAACATCTTGAACACTCGAGTTCGTTTCCGGAACATATCGGAACGTATCGATACGTATTATTTTTCTTCTTGAAAATCTTGATTATACTATATTTTGACATTTTGTTCTTCTGCGATCCGATCATCATTAGTGGCCGCCAAATTGTAAATTATATATAAAATTTTTTTCCCAATGATTTATAAATTAATCACCGTTAATTATAAATACTATTTATGATCAATTATATTATTCAGGAAGTACAGCACGGTATTCAAAAAAATGTGTTATTCAAAAAGGACAATGCTAATAATATAAATCCCGGACGAAAAGTCCAGATTCATTTTTTGATTGCCGGACAAAAAGTCCGAGTACATTTTTACTGTCGGACAAAAAGTTCGAAAATACAAAATTGTCTATTATGGTGGTATGGATATGGCTATATCTATCTAATGTTTATCGTGGCAGTATGTCTACAGTTTATCTACCATATGATTATACCTACATACCACCTTGCATACTACAATAACTAATAAGTAATAACGATAATCAATACCACGATAATAATATAAATCTAGATAATATATTATATAGGTACCTACTACGTATAGTATCATGTACATTTATCTCATCGATATAATCGATTTCACGAGGGACGTAGACATAGATTTGCGCATTTAATCGGACATAGTCATCCAACAATTTGGAAGTTGATTAATAAATTTCGTGAGGAAGTGGGGGTGGAATTGCCTACCATACAGAATAAATAATTTGTTAAATTGTTTTTTATAATTTTAGATTGTTTTGTTTGCATTGTTAAATATTATGTTTATTAAAGCAGTGATTTTGATTCTTATTTTAGTGTACGAGGATTGAAGTTCAAATACGAGATTTTAGCCATAGGTATCTGCCAACACAATGTAATTAAATAATATTATTTATAATATTTATTGCGTTGTCAAACTTTACTATCGTAATCCTTATCTAAACGTTATAACTTAGGTGTAAGTCTATAACAAGAAAAATATACACGAACACGGTCTATGTTCATAAAATTATTGTGGTGAATAGTTCAATAGTGTATTGTGTTTGACGTTTGTGTATACAAGTTTAATATTTACTGGTTTATACATTTATTGTAAACCGTAAAATCTTAAATCAACTAAAGCCCCCTACACACAATATGATTTGGTCGGGCCGACAGGATAATTTGGTCCGGTCGGACGTCGTATCAGTTCGTGTATAGACGTGTCATCTGACCACGATTAAAGATATCTTAAGCCATGCATCTGATTGATCCCATCGGGTCTTGTCATGTGGCCGTTCCATCTGACTGTCCGACCGCCCGACCAAATCATATACCTAGTGTGTAACATTGTCGGGCGGATTTAGACTAGTGGAATTAAAATTCATCTCACCAGTCGTGCAGAGGTCGTGTCGTCTGTACACAACACCTGATTTGGTCAGGCTACCTGTTGCCCCGGCCAGATCATATTGTGTGTAGGGGGCTTAACATTAGTGTACTAAACTACTAACGTTTATCGAGTGCATGTGCTCAACGTCAACATGGGAAAACATAGTGCAAAAGTCCATAAAGTGTTCCGCGAATTGAGTGAAAAAAACATAGTAAAATTATCATTAAAAAATCTTGTAATTATTGCAACTGGACAACCGTAAAAAATGCAACTCGTCAACTTAATCACATTTTGGATTGTAATAAATGCCCAAAAAACATTAAAGACGCATTTCAAACTGATTCAAGTATGTATATTTTTGTATAAACATAGTTTTTTATCTATGGTAATTATGGGGGTAACTATAAAGTAACCGAATATATAATATAAATAATAAATATGAAATATTTAAATATATTAAACAAAATTATATTCTTATTAACACTGTCGCATGCCTGCATACCACATTCATATTTATAATTATATACATAAGACATGTATAGTAATTTATTAGTAGAATATATAAATATATAGTATGATAAATATTGATAAGTTTATAATGCTGTACTAATGTTCAGTGTTCTAAATTCGAATGTAAGAATTCAGTAGGTATACCTACAATATACATATATAGGATTGTATACCTACTTGTATAATTTAAACATTAAAATATTTAAAAATATTGAATACCGTTTTAAATGTGTAATTTCAAAGATTAGGTACCTATACATACAAGTACCATACAGTTATGAAGGTAATTTATGACAATTATATGTAAATATAAAACTTATTTAAAAATAAAACAAAATTTATTAAAACACTGAAATAGTTCACGAAATATTACATTTTTTTAAATTTCATGAAATTTTCAAACACCATAAATAATAATAGATAATATTTAGACAGCAGTCCCATATAATAAGTACATAGTTTTTATACAGCAGTTTCATTATAATGATACATCATTTTTAGACAGCAGTCTCATATTATGATAATACAAATTTACAAAATACAGTGATAATACAAAGTTACAAAATACAGTGGTAATACAAATTTACAAAATACAGTGGTAAGTACCACACAAATTTACAAAATACAGTGGTAATACAAATTTACAAAATACAGTGATAATAATATGAACATAAGGGTCCGTTGTACGGAATAAACATAAACAATTGGTCGACTCGTCGACTCACAGGATAATTAACTACACATTTACCGTATAATAGGGTCCGTAATAGTATAATAAATCTATTACAGAATTGGCAAAGTTAATCGAGGGATACAAATGGACCCTGCATACGGGTGAATGCATATTGAAAACGAAGATTTCACTAATAAAGTAATAGTGATTGCAGCCGAGACAGAAATATGAAGTTTTGACACTACAAAGTACAGGGCTGATTTACAAAAAAAAAAATAATTTAATTAATGTTGGCGTACGCCAAGTACTTGCTCGGAAAACGGCATACACCAACGGACGCAAATGTGGGAGCGAAAAATACCGAACGGACGGGCGAACGAGCTCATAATAATATTACAAACTTAAAGGGGAGGACAGACGGTGGTGGTAGGGGAGAAGTCGAAAACTTGGTGGACATTACTCTACGTTTACAAAGGATTGGCAGAAGCAAACCCTGCGTGCCACGTTCACCAACGACCTCCAAACGAACCGTTTGGTCCTCTTCCAGGCGGACCTCCTCCGCGGACCATCAACAGACCGTGATGTTGCCGGGTATTTCGGGACTTCGGAACACGTAGGAATCGGTAGGACAGCCGCGTCAATTAACGAGGTTTCCCCGAGTGTGTCCGTAATCGGTGCCACGCTAAAAGGCCCAGCAGCTGGCTTCGAAGATGGTCCTAAAATCATAGGCACGTCCTCCAGGCATACGGGTGATTCCATTGTGAGTTCCGGCAACGACCGGGTACTCTCCTCTGCAGCATTTCCGTGGTTAAGTAGCGGTGACTCGACAGTGACCTTAAGGTCCACCACTGGCAAATCTTGAACGTCAACTACTGCAGTTTCCTCGAGTGCGTCCGTATTCGATTTCAATTGAAAAGTTGCAGCGGGCTCCGACGATGGTCCTCCAATCATAAGCTTGTCTTGCTGCAAATATATCGGTGAGTCAATACTCAATTCCGGCGACGACCGGGTGCTCTCCTCCGCAGCGTTTCCGCGGTGAAATAGCGGTGACTTGACCGCAGCTGTGACCTTTAGGTTCACTGCCAAATCCAGAACGTCGACTATAGATCGACCCTCGTTATTGGCATAAATTTGTTGAAATTGTTTTGGAACTGTGGCGTCCATATTTGTATTTTACGACGTAATAAACGGCAGAAAAAAAGAAAAATAAGTTATTCAAATAACAGAAAAATAAGTTAGGTATTCAAATAACAGAAAAATATTAACAGAGATAAACGTACCATGACGGGTTTCAATAAACTAATTGTTTACTACAATAAATATACAGCTATGATATATAGTAGTGTTCTTTTGTGGCCAGCATAGTTACCTTGAAGCCAGCTAATAAATAAGTTTTTTTTTTTTAATTATTTTATTATAAGATGTTTCTAGTCTATGATATCTACATCATATGGATATATTATGTACAGTTTTGACTTTTGACTTTTTTAACATGATACAATAATAATAATGGTGTTTATACGATAATAGTATTTATATGTAAATTATAGTTTAGAATAAAGTAATAAAATAAATAATAATATAAATGTCTGTTAACATAATATTATGTTGGACTTTTATTTAAGTACGAATAGTTAACTTAAGAAGGTCGTGAAGCCCCGTTTTAGTCGGCGTTGACGTAGTTCTGAATGTAAGTTGTAGTACATTGTACCTGATGAAATGAGCAACGAGCTGTGGAAATAATAATATAATTATCTAATATAATATCGTGCTTGGCAGGGTAGTTGAGCAACCATTTCCCGAGTTGTGATTTCGGATGGTTATCGTCTCTCCAGATTCCAGAAGGCAAGTGAACACCTCGGGACGTAGCACATTCAAATCATGGTATAATATAAGACTATATCATAGGTTCCTATCATAATATATTGTTAATAAATAATTTATGAATTTAATTTTATAGATAATGTCGTCATATAAGAAATTCAATCAATACCTGAATAATAAATACAACATATTATGTTAAATATATTTTAATTATTAAAGTAATATTATGTAAGAATATGGAAATTAAAATAATTTACATTGTAGTATTAGAAAATAATATTAAGTACCTATTTACAATAAAATCCGTTCCCTGAATGTATTTTTTATTTGTGTAAACAATAAACGTAAGTACCACCGTTGAGATTTACTTACGAAATTTGAGAACGCTTTCCTTGGAATATTTATTTCTGTAATTTAATTGTGCACATCGACGCTCAAACCTTGATTAATCATAGCTTAAATTTCTTGTAAAACCATTTGTAATCGCGACTATTATAACTATAATATTATATTCAATATGATAATTATTAATAACTACAATACGTGTATTCAAATTTCAAATATTATAAACGACAATACGGGATACTCAAATTTAGTGGCGAACAAATATTGTCATCATTTCCTCCCGATATTGTATATAATTTGCCTGTATTTTGCAATATTGTTCATGTTAATCTAAAGGAGTAAAATAGACAACTATTATAACAATCTCGGAGGTTATTAATATTGTAATGTTATTTTGATAAGAAACTGTTCGCCAGTTTTCATATGCAAATGTCCAGCATTCAGAGGCGTTCTCAGGATATTTCAATGGAGGGGGATGAAAAAAGTGGTTTCAAAATAAGCCGTACCTAAGGGTTTTGTCTCACAACTCCCATATTATAATAATGAATATTAAAAAAGCGGGTAAGTGGATGTCGCTCTGCTGTACTGTAGGTTACAAGTGGGTCACTGTATAATGGATGGTATTAAATTTGAATGCAATTATATAATATCATTGTATAAGAAAAACGATTCTGAGCGGAGACGGTATGTCAGTCTAGGTATAAGACATATTATATACTTTTCTATGGTATTAAATTATATGGAATTTATGAATAAATTCCTTAAAATATGCACAGTCTTATCATGAGCATAATTCTCATTCCTTATACTATGGTAGATTGTATGGATAGGCCATAATATTTTGATTTTTCAGTTTCATATATCCCCCCGAATAATATTTTTAAATTACAACAAAAACAAAGATCGTTAATATTAATTTTAATATGTAATTTCGTCCAAATTTGAATTTAAAATGTCTGTAAAAAATAACTGTTGTCATGCTTATAAAAAAAATTGTGCCTATGTATTTTTAATATTTTTCAATTGCTACTGTAACAATATATCAGGAACCTTGTATTAAATTTTTACACTTTTTGGCCCAACAGATAAAACTTTATTGATATTTATAGAAAAAAAAAAGTAAAAAAATTGAAAACTAAAAGGTCCGTAAACAGCTCAAAAAGAGTCGAAATATTTTCAAAATTGTACAGTGTATAGGAAATGCTAATCTGAACATTCAGTGAAATTTTCATGTATCTATAGTTATTCATTTTTGAATTACAACAAAATAAGAAAATCGCTACAGAGGAATCGAGTGAATATCCAATGTTGTAGAAATTTGAATTTCAAACGCTCATAAAAATTTAATTTGACTTTCTTATAGACATTTTTTTTTTGATAAAGGTAGACAATCTTATGAGTAATCTTGTATTACATTTTCTAATCTTAGATTTAAAAAGAAACATTTTTACAAATTCTTAACTCAAAATAATTTGCTAATTTTCGTGATATTTCCATATTTTGTCAATTTTTGAACTTTTAATGCTTATAAAAAAAAAACTGTGACTAACGATTTTTAATATTTTCCATCTGCCTTTGAAACAATATACTAGGGGCCTTCTATTAAATTTTCAAGTTTTTTTAACCAACAAATAAAATGTTATTGATATTTCTGGAAAAAACACTAAAAAAAAAATGAAAAATGAAAATGTCCCTAAACAGTTCAAAATAAATCAAAATAATTTGAAAATGTTATCGTGTATATAAAATGCAAATATAAACAATCAGTGACAATTTCATGTATCTACGGTCATTCGTTTTAAAGTTACACCAAAAACCAAATTCAATTTTCTGAAAAATCGATTTTGCGTAAAAATTCCCGTTTTCCTTAATTTTTCTTTCGTTTTTCTTGGCGCTTTTGAAAAGTACTGGTAATTTTATATTTTGACCTCCCCAATGCACCAACGATATTCACTTTCCAATCGAACAAGATACTGGAGTCGAAAATCGAAGCATTATTTCGACTACTTATCGTGTACACAGACACAAAAATAAAAAAAAAAATATAAAAAAATAAAAAAACATAAAAACACACATCATTGTAAAATCAATACATTCATCGTTCCACTCAGAATCTAAAATTATAATTTTTTCTTTTATTCGTCTATTCAGTTATCCATCACCCTATATAATCAAAATTTTGCTGTTTAGTAATAATTTATAAGGAAATATTCAGAAAAAATATATAGGTACAATTATAAACCATTTAGGTACTTTACTATAATTTCTTTATATCTAGTGTACTTTAATTTTTTTACCTATTACAGATAAATGTGAAACATTTTAAAATATTTTATTTTGATATTTAGGTACTAATAATTTTTGAAGTAATGAAAAAGCAAAATATAAAAATACATATATAATGTATAGACCAAGATACAAAGATACCCAGAGAATTTTATAAAAATACAATAGTAATGTTAATGTACAATTAACAATAGTAAATACATTTTGCAGTAGTTTGAAGTATTTAACTTAAGACTTCCAAATTTTTAACTCTTTCACTGCTACATTATTTATCCTTATTTATCCACTGCAACCTGAACCTGTGTATGATGCGTAAAATAAAATATTTGTTTTTTTGTTTAAGTTTTAAAATTATAATTAGAATAAGATCTATATGATCTAATTATTTAAGTTTAAAATAATTCGAGCCATAATTTCCAAAACTTGTATGGTTACCGTCAAATGAGAATATTATAAAATACAGGAACGTAATAGGACATCTAGAACAGTGAAAACTGAAAGGGTTTATATTCTTACAAAACATGTTGGACATTTTTTCCCAGACCGTACTTGGGTCAATCACAGAATACAAATACAATGAGGGATTATTTTTTTTAACATTATTTTGATTAAATTTATCAAAAAATGAAATGTCGAGTATTAAAAAAAGATGGTAAGAATAACTTATTTTGAATATTGATTGAAAAATTCTTTTTTATTATAAACCAAATAAATAATACCTAGTTGTCTAGTTTATTAGTTCTTAACATAATAACAATAATAAGTTTTTCTTAGAGTTCTAGAATTTAATAATAATTTCATGATACATCAAATGAATAATACAAGTTCATATTTTAACCAGGTAGTTGTCTCTTAGATTATATGGTTTGACATACATTGTTTTTGTAAAATTATAATTATTTAACTAAATAAACAATTTCTAGGCATTTATAATATGATTTAGTATTATTAACTATTTACAATAAGGTAAATTAATTAATCCGATTCTTCATCTGAATTACATTGATGTATTATGTCTGTATTTGCTGCATTAAGTCTTTCAATTATAGTTGTAGCTGGATCAAAAAATCCTCCAGTTTGTTTCTCACAGACGAAACATTTAGTGCTCTTTTTGAAATGAGCTAATGCACACTTTTCACAGAAATAATGTTTACATTTTGTCATTACAGGATTGACATAAGACCCTCGACAAATCAAACATTTAAAAGGCAAATAATCATCATCATTTTCTTTGATTTCATACTTTGATGGATCATCATCATCTGAATCACCTTGTTGAGTAGATTCCATTTCTAATTGCCACCCAAATTTATAGTCTGAACGATCATGTAAAAATTTACAACTGTCGCCAAAACCACAAAAACCCGTTTCTTTATAATCTTTACAAATGTCAGGTTGATAATCCCAACGAACAGTGGAACGTAAATTAGCTGGTGCTCTTATAGGTCCCTTGCGTACCATTCCACTAGACGCATTACCTAAAGCCGTATCTTTTTTCTCATAATATTGAGTATAATTCGCTAGACCTCTATAAACCTTGTCATCTTCTTTGCCTTTAAGTTCTTTATTCACTTGCAAAGAGCGTTCATAGATAGCTTGGGCATCTTTGTCGAGTTCGGTATCAATTTCAATTGTTGCGGTTGCACCCATGTCTTTCGGTCCACTCATGTCGGTGTCCATTTTGGAACGATATGAAACACCGACAGATTCATTGTCACTCTCTGAAGAATCGTGTATTGGCTCAGATGCTTTGAGCTTTTTGTTTGATGTACTTTGAATGAATGGGCTGGATTTTTTATTTCGTTTTTCATTTAAAACAACAGCACTTTCTTCATCACTGTTTTCACTATCCGAGGTGGCTCGCCTACGTCGGTTTTGCACAACTTTACGTTTTTTAAATTCGATTGACATACTTACCTATATCTTCACGATTGAACAATTACTTTTATTATCGGTCTCTTATATTTTGCTGTAATGTTTCTTGCTTTCTTGCCTCTGACGTCTGACAGTGATTTCTAATTTCTATCGTCTAGCGAATAATGTCTATCGAACTATATTCGTTCATGGGGATAACATTATTATTATTGTTGTTGTTGTTGTTGGCTCATGATAACTGATAATAGTAGATAACAAAAAATCAAAATATTCGAAAACGTTCAGTTTACTTTGTGATAAATCATAAATGATAATCGTCATTTACTTTTACACTAGTGCAGTTTAATTTAACATTTATCGTTCACTCGTCTTGCAAAGGTCTGAGGTTTCATCTTCATAATATATACTACCATATTAGTAACCGGTAGGTATTAGGTTTCTCTATTTGCGTTAATAAACCTAACGGCCAACTCTTTAGGAAAACGCACTTACTCCTCAAGTATACTTACCACTATTAACCATGGACAACGAAAAGGAAGGGCCTGTGTTCAAAGTGCCTAAATTGTTCGGTCCCAGACCTGGCACGAAAAAACCCGTAATATGTGAGGACATCGTTAGCGATGACACCGATGTTGCATCGACAACAAACATGGCAGTAAATACCAAAGTCAGCGTTGAACCAAAAGTAGAACAGCCAAAAAAAATTTCCAAGACTACATCTCAAGTTCCTATTCCGTACGAAGAACCGTCATGGGGTGGGAAACCTGGAGATAAATATTTTTTAGAGGTTTGAGTATTGACAGTTATTCATCTGGATTTTGTTTATGGTTTTCGTTGTTGTTTAATATTTAATTTTTATTTAGGAGTTAAAATCTGGTGTAATGTTAAGTACAATACAACTAGAAAGTCGATCATTTCATTGCTTTGGACGTTTAAATAATTGCCATGTCACAATGGCACATCCAACAATTTCACGTTTTCATGCAGTTCTACAGTATCGTTCTACTTTTTCTATCAACGATGAAAATAGAGGGTTTTATTTATATGACTTGGACAGTACACATGGAACATTCTTAAACCGTTTAAGAATTAAGCCCAAAACTTATGTTAAAGTCCATGTAGGTTATAAATTTATTTTTATTTTATACATATTATGTTAAGTTCAATATAAAACAAACAGTGGTGTCATTTCAGTTTATAATAGAAAGGGGCAAAAATTTCAGCCCAAATAGGTAGGTAACTTAAAAAACAACCGCTAGCAAGCACATATTAAAATATCATATTCCTTTCTTTCATAAAACGCATGACATACATATAAACTTTCAGGCACATTGACACATGCTTCTAAATATATACTATTAATTAGTAATTAACAATTCATAATTGTGACAGTAAATTCTTACTACCTACACTATGTAATATTTTCCTATAAATATAGGCATGTTTTTGCTCAAATGTAATATAACTAGGTATGGTTAGTCGAAAACCACTTGGCACCAGCCCTTTTGGCTGCTTTTAAAATCAGACACACCTTGCCTCCTACCAAATGACACCACTGCTATAAAAATACTATATATTATAAATTATTTACTTTTTAATTATGTAATTTTCAGGTTGGTCATTTGATTAGTTTTGGTGGTAGTACTAGAATGTATTTGTTACAAGGCCCACCAGACGACGAAGAAAAAGAATCTGAATTAACTGTTACTGAATTAAAAGCTAAACGGCAAGCAGAACTTGTACAAAGAGAAAGAGAACAAGAGTTGCAAAGACTAAAAAGAGAAGAAGAAGAGAGAAAAAAAATGGAACAGGGTGTTGATTGGGGAATGGGTATGTATTAAATTTATTATAATATGTAAATATATTCATAATACTATTTACAAGCTATACTCTATTCGTAATAAGTCTGAAAAAAATCCTGACGGGAACGCGTCGCGTTTTGCGCATTTGCAGTCTCATTGGTTGCAGTCGGCTCAGCCGACTACTGCAGCCAATCACAGGGGTTCTACCGTTCAGAGACTGTGCAGTTTTTCCAAACTTATTTTGAATAAAGTATATAAATAGTAATGAAACTTATATTTCTTTTCTTTCAAAGCTTAGATGATTTAATAATTTAAATATTAAATAAACATTTATTTTTATTACTTTGTTCTAGTATATTTTTTCATTGGTTAAACATTTTTAAATTAGAATGGTGTAATTAAATAGTTTTGGTGGATTTTTAAACTGTATGTTTTTTTTTAATGCAATGTTTTATTTATATTTTAGGTGAAGACGCAAATGAAGAAGAAGATACTAAAGAAAATCCTTTTGCTCCTAAAGAAAATGAACAACTATATTTGGATGATCCTAAAAAAACATTGAAAGGTTGGTTTGAAAGAGAAGGACAAGAATTGGAGTATGATGTATCAGAAAAAGGATTTGGAACATTTACCTGTCGTATAGAGTGAGTAATATTATTTATAATCATTTTTTTAAAAATATTTTGTAACAATTCTATTTTAGATTACCAATAGCAAACATTACAGGGAGACCACAGATTGCTGAAGCTACAATAAGTGGTAAAAAAAAAGAAGCAATTGCCCATTGTGCACTGGAAGCATGTAAAATTTTGGATATGTATGGACTTTTAAGGCAGTCTACGCATGGTAAATTATGTTTATTTATTTATTTTGATTTTATAATTTATTTTTATATTTTAGAAAGTAGAAAACGCAAAGAAAAAAATTGGGAAGAGGAAGACTTTTATGACAGTGATGATGATAATTTCTTAGATCGTACAGGAGATATTGACGCAAAGCGCAAAAAACGAATGAAAAAATTTGGTAAAGCTGCTGAAACTGTTGATACTTATGAAACATTGGTATGAACATTGTACAAATAAATTAAATTAAAATTATGATGATATTATAAAATCAATAATTAAATCAAATTTTAGTAATTATTTATTTTTTTTAGATGGAGAAACATAAACTTTTGCTTGCTGATCTTAAACATACCAAGAGTAAATTAAACAGATTAAATCGAAATGTTACCAAAGAGTATGGTGGTACTAATGATGAGGACTCTTTAGAATCATATATGTCTGATCTTAGAAATTATAAAACTGTTGATAAAGTTGAGATCAAAAGATTAAAGGTAGGTACAGTATTCATAAATCATAGTTGTTGCGTAATAATTTTTTATTTTATTTTGTTTATTTGTATAAATGCAGATTAAAATTAATGAGCTACAAGACGAAGAAGAAAAACTTAGAAAAATTATTAATATTGTACGACCGACTACTTTACCAGAACTTAAAAATCCTGAGATAGAAGAAAATACACCTAAAGTAGAACAAGTGGTCAAAGAAAATCAAAAAAGTAATAATGGTCAATCACCAATACCAACATCTGTACCAACATTATTACCAAAAGAAGTTAAAAAAATTGATACAAAAATAAAACCTAATGTTGAAGAGAAAGTAGAAGTCATAAACAAAGAAAAAATCAACTTAAATGAAGCAGAAGGTATTATGATTCAATAATTGAATTTATTTATTACCTGTCGTAGGTTATATAAAACAACTGTAATAGTTTGTAGTTAGAAATTAATGAATTTACATTTTACTGTTCACTCTGTAATCAGTGTTCAGAAATAATGGTATATTGACTATATTTTATACCATTGGGTTTCCAAACTTCTCAGTCACCTGTATAATATATTTTTCAATATTATTTTTAGAAACAGCATTGAAGGAATTGAAAGAAGCAGAGAAGCGACAAAAGCAGTTAGAGAAAAAAGATAAGAAAGTATGTAAACTTAAACTATTTAAAAATGTAATTCATTTATATACTTGAAATTTGAATGTGTTATTCATAATGTCAATTGATAAAAATGTTCACACAAATTTGCTGTAACATATTTACGAGGACGGAACACACAATGGCGGAACCCCACTTAACTATTTTTTTTTTTTGTATTCCAAGATATGGGTATTTAAATGTGTTTTTATGGTTGAGATATGTATATTTCAACAATGGGTATTTTTATAAATTTATAATGCAGAAAAAATACGAGTCTGTAGTAGTTGGCATTATTTTGTTGACAAAATATTTTAAATAATAATAGTAATAACCATTGCTCAAATGCGTAGTGTTGATTCTGAGAAAATAACATGGGATATTCAAAATGTATACACTATAAATTGTTACATGTGTACAATATTATAATTATAGGTGCAATAATTATAGCCTGACGGCTATCTAGACAGATTATCACGCACAGGGAATGGTTTGTCGTCAGATATCAAAATATGGGTGAAGGGACAAAGTTCCCCTCGAATCAGTGAACTCTGGATGGATAAATACCACTCCCAAAACAAAATGATAAATATAATATTGCATATCTGAGAGATAAAAATAATAATACAAATTTAAAAAAAAAATATAGAAATAAGTTGAAATGTGGTGTTATAACCATCATAATATATTCTCTTTTATTAATTATTGTTGTATGTGTTTAGATAATTGCTAAAACTTTGGAGAAAGACAAGTTGGAAGATTTTGGAAACATGATTTGGAAACCTCCAGCGGATCAAACTGGAGATGGACGAACTAGTCTAAATGAAAAATATGGCTACTGATAGAAGTATTATATTTTAAGTGTACAAAGATGAATTACATGTATATATTGCTTATGAATAAATACAAATTTTAAATTATTTCTTATGTATTAATAAATAGTCATTACATAATTAATTACATTGAGATAGTTATCACATTATAATATTGTAGTGAGAATAACGTATAAAAATTTAAATTACGGAGTCAGAAGTGTAGATATACATAAAGTTCCATCATCTGAACCAGTCACACAAGTACCACATTGATTTAGAGATGACCAATCACAAACAACTGGAATGCTTTGATGCTCTTTCAGAGACAAGACTACATTTAATCCAGTACTTGTTATCTATTAAATGAATGACAATTATAAGTAAAATGATAAACTTAGACATTCCTATAATATAAGTGTGATCACGATAAGTGGAACCACTCAATAACTATGTGCAGGCTTCATATATTTCAATTCTGCTTTTTTGGCTAACTAATAAACATTATTACACACATTTTCAAATAATTAGACTGTTTTTGTGACAATTCATATTGAGCATGCGCACAATAATTTTTCAATGAATTTTAGTGGTTGAATTTATTTTCTAAATTAAAAAATGGCCGAGTTATAGTGATCTGATTTTATGTTATTTGCATGGATATATTTATTATTATTATTAACTTTGTATTTACTATTTTATAATCTGTTATACCCATGCAAATAACATAAAATCAGATCACTATAACTCGGCCATTTTTTAATTTAGAAAAGAAATTCAACCACTAAAATTCATTAAAAAATACCAAGAAAAATAATTTGTGGTCAAATATAGGTTGTGCGGTTTAAAAAAAAAAAATTATTGTGTGCATGCTCAAAATGAATTGTCACAAAATAGTCTAATTATTTAAAAATGTGTATAATACTGTTTATTAGTTAGCCAAAAAAGCAAAACTGAAATATATGAAGCCTGCTTATAGTTATTGAGTGTTTCCACTTATCGTGATCACACTGTATTATAATATCTTAGTCCGTGACTAAAACACATAATATATTTATACAGCTGAAAGACTAAAAAGTAATTGAAGATAATGAGACAATGATAAAATATAAATTAGTATTCATGCTATTTAAAATATGTCAATAAATTATGAAGACATCGGTTTCCAAAGTATGTGCGCGGGGTGTTTTGACAGGGGCACCGTGCTTTGTAGAATTTTATACCAGGTAATTCTTTTATCAAACAACACTCTATATTTCAAAAAGTGTAAAATTTTTTTGAAAATATTTTTTTACATAGTTTCAAGTCGCTTATAAAACAACGTTTTTATTAAAAAATTATATTTTTTATCCTTATAATTTTTTGAGTTTTTACTTTTTTGATTGACAACATAGGGTTTTAATTTTATATTCCAAAGCAGAATATTTTTCTTAGTATTTCGATACATGAAAATCAAATTTGGGGTGAGTAGTTTATGAGTTATAAATATTCAAAGTATTGATGAGTGGAGAAGTGGACAAACATTTAGCGAGGTAACCCCGTACCACTCCACTCCGCCCATCAAAACTCATAAACTCATAAACTACTCGCCCCATATTCGATTTTCATGTATCGAAATACTAAGAAAAATATTCTGATTTGAAATATAAAATTAAAACCCTATGATGTCATTCAAAAAAAGTAGAAAAATTAAAAAATTATAAGGATAAAAATATAATTTTTTAATAAAAACGTAGTTTTATAAGCAACTTGAAACTATGTAAAACTACATTTCTAAAAAGTTTACACTTTTTGAAATTTTGAGTGTTGTTTAATAAAAGAATCGGCCGGTATGGCCCAAAAATATATTTGAAAAGGGACAATGGACAAAATTATAATTATGTAAATAGAAATGTATAATTTTAATTAAATACATATTTTCATATTGCCAATTACAATTTTTTCTAGTTTTTATTTATTTTTTTTTTATGATATGACATGAGAAGAGCAACCTTAGAAAAACCTTGGTTCAAAAAGCGCGCTACGAGCCAAAAAAGTTTGGGAACTGCTGATGTAGGACAATGTAAGTATGTGACAACATGTAAGTATAATATGTGTATATTATTACTTTATATATATTTCCTCCATTATTTTGACTATGGCATAATAGCATATAACCACCAGACTGATCTAATGTAAATGCTTGACTCATGAATGCATTGGGCTTGAGTGGATTATCTTTCTTAATATTCACTTCCCATACGCACGACTGCTTATTACCATTCATACTAGTGCGACAAATCTAAAAGGCAAAACATAATTCATTGTAAAAATTAAATAATGTCCATGTTATAAATATAAATTACTTTGTTATCGGCTCCTAATGTGTAACAATCATTATGATCAGGAGATAATTGTAGACGCATCAAACGATCAGTATGTGGGGTCCAACGATCAACAATTTCACTATGTCTGAGATCAACTGTACGTACTGATCCATCAGCACATCCCGCATACAACAATTGACCATTATGATTATATGCACAACATGTAACGGCTACATCATCATTTCCTAATATCAGTTGTCTCTATAGAAATAGTTATTATAGTCATACATATTTATAAAATATATTACAAGATAGTAATTAATAAGTATACTAAATAAACAGAAGCCATACTTCAATTTTTTTTGTTTTGACATCATATAAAAGTAGTTTATTGTTGTCTTTAGAAATAAGCGAACAAACAAATGTAGAATCAGACGGACCACATTTCACACATTGTATTTTTAAATTTGTCGATTGTTTAAATGGATTTAGTTCCCAAGAGCTTTTCATTTCTTTAGCATCATATAAAATTATTGAACAATCGTCGCATCCTAGCAATGTATAACGGTCATTAGTTTTGAACCAATCCAAGCTGTATACAACTTTTTTCAAGTTAGTTGATCCAATTACTCTATAAATTCACATGATAAAAATTATTAGATTAAAATCAGTTAGTATATTGAATAAGATGATTTACTTTGGTGATGGGGCAGCTGACCAAATTTTCAAAAAACCATCAGTATCTGTGCTAGATATAAGTGAACCCGACATGTTAAACCAACATTGAGTAATCTTTGTTTTATGCTCATTAAAGGATTCCTGTTAATAATTTACAACTGTATAATATGTATTATGTACCTACACATAAATAAGATTTTATTTTTTAATTTAAACTTACCTGGCTAAGCAAAAGAAATGGGGGTACTTTGTGCTGTCTTTTGTCTAAATTGTCCAAACTGGCATCTCGAGGACCTCTACTTCGAGTGGAATCACGTTCTAATGATATTGATCGCTTTGATACAGTTCTACGACTACTTTCACTAAGTTATGAATAATTCAATTTTTATAATCACTTGTAATGTAAAATGTATTAATCACAAATCTCAAGATTTGATCAAATATAAGTAACTTGTTTAAAATTGATTATTATCCAAATGATTTTTCACAAAAAAATATCCTTACCTAGTATTTCCAGGCTTGATCATTATGTAAGACGAAGGAGAAGTTGATAAGCTTGTACTGAGTTTTGAATTGGTTCCTACATGCTTTTTATACCCCATATCTGAAATCAAGTTATTATTATTTAATAACATATTTAAGTACCCAGTTTGTTAAATGAATATGTTTTAAATTTTAATCAAATCACCAGTAGTAGAAGTAGTAGTAATATTAGTAGGAATTGGTTGAGATATACGCTTTATGTTTACTTGTTTTCCAAGTATTGGACTCGTAGGCAATCCACCAATAGTTCTGATGAGTGACCTCAAGGATTTTATGGATGTATCAGTATTCGTATTTTTTAATGTTTCCCTAGAAAATAATAGTTTTTTAATAAATAATATAACTAGTCAAGTGTAATATAATTGTATTACTGAGACACTGTGTAGAAATCATCAATTATATCTAGCGGTTGAGTATGAAATGATCCACTGACTGTGTTGTATTTTGGTTGAGTAACTCCATCAGTAAGTTTTTGTTTAAGGGTATCAATTTCATCTTGAAGTCTGCGAATTTTGTTCGCATCATCTTCATAATTACACAAACTAGGTCGTGGAATAATCTAAGTAAATAAAAATAATTATTTGTTTTATATTTTGGGTAAATAATATTACCTATATAGGTTGATTTTACTAATTTAATATTATGTAAATCCAACATTCTTAATTTAAATATTTAAATGTAGATTAATGTGCATTCTTAGGATTACAGTCAAGTATAAACAAATAAATTACAAAATACAAATTTATATTTTTCATACATAATACTAAATATTTATTGCACAAGAAAACTCATAAGTGTTATATACCAATTTAATTTGGTAGGAGAGCAAAATATTTTTAGAAGAATTTAATAGTCAATCAACAAATTAAGAATATTTAAATTTGATACTATCTACTGCATTATACAATAAAAAATTATTTAAAAAGGTTAGTTAATTGGAGCGTTTGTTTTTTCTTACATAAATAGAAGCTTGTATGTATCAAAGTGTATTTACTTACTTGATAGACAATGGAGAGAAAATTATGTAAAGAGATAAAAAATGAATCTTGCCACTGCTTGGTGAAGTAAATGGCAAACAATGGGTTATCTTCAATATTTTTCAAGTATGGCAACACTTATATATATAATATTAATTATTATTAAATCATTAAATTGTCCTAGTTAAAAAAAAATAAATTAACTTACTAAACCAGTCTTTCCATTCACTTTGCAATTGTAGATCGTTGGTCATTTTGGTTAGGAACTCATTTACTTTGTCTGAACGGTTATTAGTTAATGCGTGTATAAGGTAAAATTTGAGCAAACTATTTTCCAATTTTTTTACAGCTGAAAACAAACATATTTTCAAACCTTTATCTAGAAATTTAAATAGCTGATCAATATACAAACCATAGGATATGTCTTGATCAAGTTTTGAAAATAATTTATTTTCAAAATGTGACCATAGCTCTCGGATTGTAGACAAATCATAAGAATATACTAACTGCAATATTTGTTCAACTAGTTTGTCCACCTTTCGAAAAAATCAATATCGTTTGAATGATTAATGTTTAAGACAAAAAGACACCTTTCAAATATATTTTATGAGTCATTGTACTAAATGCATTATCTCATGAGCAGCATAGAGAAATATCAAATTGGTGTACAATGTACCACTTACTCTAAATCCTTTATCTTTGTCAAGTTTCACATCAAAATCAAACCATTTTAATGCGTTAGTAAATCCTCGAAATAAAAAATATTCTCTGATCAACTCATCGATGTGTTGCATATGAGGCATTGTTATGTGGCTCGTAAGACTACCAAGTATCTATCGAATTATGAGTTTTGTTTCTGTCATTATTCAGACGTAAACAGTACGAATAGACATTGCTAGTTAATAAAGATATTTGTTTTTGTTAATTGATCTTTGCTAAAAATTAAAATACATTGTCAAAATGTAGGTAGTAGGAATACCTATAATGATTTTGAATTTGTTTAATAATTAATCTTAAATGTTATCACCAGTTATTGCAAGAATAAATCATTGATAACAGTGCCAAGGGAGTAGCTTTGGGATGGATACGTAAACATCGTACGCGCAATCCGGAGAGAAACCTTGGAATGAATCATTTTCAAAAAAAAATTTGGAATCGTGACTTATCTATGTTTTACTTTAATAATTAATAATAGCATAGACCTATAAACTAAGTTGAATAGTAGGATATGTTTTTTACTGATAAACACGGTCTTATAATATAAGTTATCAACTTTGATATGCCATAACTTGTGAGAACAGTGAGTTTCCGGAAATTTTTGTAATTGGGAAACGGTGTAGCTGGTGGTACGCAAATTTAAAAAGTTTGAGAACCGCTGGTCTAAAGCCCTGTTCACACGATCAAATAATTTGTCAAATATTTGACATTGGTCAAACTCCAAATATTTTAGAACCATTTCTAAAATATTTGAAGTTTGACATACATCACGGACATATATACAGGACTGGTCACGAACGCTCTTTACTGTATAAGCCTTCAGAAAATTAGTGTCACGCTTATGGGCCCACTTGACTATGCTGACATCTAGCGGACAATAAAGCAACTAGTCGTTTATTTCGAAATAAATTGTATTTCCATTAACATTTATGATGTTATAATATTCTAATAATATTGTGTATATCGTATATTGTAGTATACGTCCATTTCAGTGTTAAAAATGAAAATGGAAATAAAAATAATTAAATAGTTTTGCAATTAAATATAATACAAATAGATGGCGCAATGGTATTCCTGTGGTCCCGAGTATTGTCCCGAGCGTGACACTAATTTTCCACTGATAACGTCTCGTGCCCAGTCCTGTATGTACGTCCGTGACATACATCAAATATTTGACAAATTATTTGATCGTGTGAACGGGGCTTAAAGAAACTAAAAATTATACAATACAAACTATTACAAATAATACATTTCTATGTATCAAAATTAGAAAATTCTGAATTTTACATATATTTATATTTTTTTTAATTCCATGTTAACGTTATTATTTGATAAGCCAGCCAAATGCCTTACTAGTTACTGCGGGGAAGCGCTCGTATAAATATTGTATCAAAGTCCAAAGACGTATTAATATATTTTTATTTAATTGCAGCCTGTTTAGACTATTTAAACTAAAAATAGCTGATGGCCGGCTTAGTTGCGGGGCTCAAGATCAATAAAAGAAAAAAAAAATTATTGATGTGTTTTATGTTTACAAAATACATATTAACCCTTAGCCCTAAAATCCCCTGTTATTGATAAATTAATGTCAAAGTGGTCTGATGTGATAAAACTTGTTTTACTGAAAAACATGGTTATTATTTATTACTCTCAATATGGCGGCCTACCGTCTGTCACGGGGCCCCTCCGATTGGTTAGGCGAGCTACCGAGTAAATCTCGATTAAAGTTGGGCCGGTCGTGTGAGTATGAGTAAAAATAAAATATGCATTTTTAATATACGATTGGCCACGTCCTATAAGGTCATAGTAATTATATTACGTAAAATTTGGGCCTCTGAATTTGTAAACAGGGCCTCATCAGTATAATATTGCATTACTATTTACTGCATTAGACCATGTCACCATGATAAAGTAATAAAGTATTTGGAAGAGAAAATTACGATGGGCCGATGCATACCGGTCCGGCCCTAGCTGCATCAACCGTTGATCGGATCAACGACTGTTTGACGATTTGTATAACTCATTAATTAGTTTAATCATTTTTCAACTCTGTGCGACTGTGCGTCTGTGCTACACATTGCGAAACGAAGAAATGGAAACATTGCCGTCAGAGGTACGTGAAACACATTTATAATATAACTTGGTCCTAACTAGAGCTTGTAAAGTATTTGAGTAAATGTATTTAAATACGTTTATAGTGTTTGGAATACTTTTTGGAACACGTGCACTTTAACACCTCATGCAAATTTTTCGATTTTTTTTTTTTTTGGAACTTATGTAGCTCGTCGAGTTAAGAACGATGGTGCAATCAGAATTTGTCGCTCTCACTTAGTTTCGAAGTTATGGCCTTCTAAAGTTTTCAACTTTACGTCTATACGCATGCGCGCAACACTACTCTATAATGCCGCGCGGAGGACTATTTTTGTTATTTTTTTGTACTTACGTATTCTAACCTGTTTAAAACGATAGGGCAATAATCATAGACCTATTAACTAAGTTAATTTAGTAACTTTAGTTAATAGGTCTATGGCAATAATAATTTATCCCCCGATTTGCTATGAAACACCTCCCCAAGTGGGTCACAGGGTTAAGAAAATTGTATTTTTGTTGCACCGAGTCACCGAGCGGGGCCACTCGCTTCCTGCGCTCGATCGGAAAATTAAAAATATTCCTCTCCTGGAAGTAGAAATAGTCAATCTGGTTTAAATGAATTCTCGCATTATACCTATAGTAGGTACCTACTACCTACCTACCTGATAATAATTAATTATAATAATCATTCAATTATAAATACGATTTTAGATTATATTATATTATTAAAGAATCTATATTTTAATACACAATTAAAATGTCAGTACGTCAAGTGCTGCGTTCTAGTGAAGTTGACCTCTCTTAGTCCCGTGTTTGTTCACTCGTTTATTTTTTATTTAGTAATCTCACGAATAAGAAAAAAAAAATCGCGAAAGACGTGACACGTAGCGTTGCGCTCATGCGTAAAAAAACGCAAAATTGCTTACTTCCAATGGCCATAACTTCGAAACTAAGTGAGAGCGACAAATTCTGATTGCACCATCGTTCTTAACTCGATGAGTTACATAAGTTCCAAAAAATCGAAAAATATGCATGGGGTGATAAAGTGCACTTTAGCCATTTGTATTAGTTTTTAAATGCGTTTGAATCGGATATATTTGTATCTGTATTTAAATGCAGTTTTAAAAATATTTTTACAAGTCTGCATTGAAAGTATATAGTAATATATAGTTATATTATTGTTTTTGATTTGCAGATCATCACTCAAATACTGGAATACTTGCCATTTGATGATCGACGAGAACTGGCTAGAGTCAATAAAGTGTTTTATCATGCTTCATCTCACCCAGTATTCTTAAGAAAAGAGTTACTTCATTATCATCCATATCTGGATAACTTTAACAATTTCAAAAATATGTTGTTGAAATCAAGAAGAAAATTTTTATGTTTAAAAATATCTGGTTATATAACTTTTATAGACTATTTAACCATTTTCACAAACTTAGGGAATCGCATTATATCACTAAATTTGATTCATATGGATTTGTTCAATGATTCATTTCTAGATGCTTTAACACAATGCTGTAGTAATCTCGAACAATTAGAACTTAAAGATGGGATGGATTTGATTTTAACTGATAAAGACCGTAAACCAATGCTCAAATTGTGCAGTATAACTTTAAATAGAATTCAAATATCTGATAGAGGGTTTAATCTAATTTTAAAACTTGCTCCAAATTTAAAGGATTTAGGTATTCTTAATTGTAGTATAGTCGATTTAGATGGTACATGTCCAATCCTAGGAGGTTCCTGGACTCCCTTAAGGTTTTATCCCGACAACATTAATATTGATTGTTCATTTTACAAGTACAATTCAAATGAAATTTTTTCAGAGTATAATATTGTACACCATCTCAGTAATTATGTTCGCTTGAATAGCCTTAGGTTAAATCATGGTACTAGAATATTTTATCAGATTAAACCCATACAGTTTCAATTTAAATCATTGTCATTGAATTATAAATGTCAATCACTTTACGCTGAGTTCATCGACTATGAAAAGTTAAGTTTAGTATTAGGTCAATGTGTATTTTTGGAACAGTTAAAAATATATAACTTACCGGTTGGTATATTATCAATTGTATCTAAGCTATATAATCTTCGACACTTAAAATTAAGTTATAATGCTGATGACTCAAATTACTCAGATGCTAGTAAATACCTTAAATCATTAGTGGAATCGTTAAAAAATCTGAAGTATATCAGCACATTATCATTTAGTAGAGATCGTGATTTTAATGAAGAACTTATACTTCCAATATATCCGTTTCCAGAATGCACGTTGAAGTCCCTTACATCATTAGACTGTTCTCTTGATTCAAATCTAGAAGTACTAAAATTTGGTAAAAATTTAACAAAGTTACGAATAAGAAATGGTGATATTCTTAAAGTCGAAGATTTACAAATATTATTCAGAAATTTAACTTATTTAAAGCATTTGCGGATTGAAAATTGTTCTGTATTAAATGATGAAATTTTCATTGACCTGCCAATATCTATTCTGAAAGGTATATTCCTATTAAAATATTAACTAAATGTTATTTTTTTAACTATATCTTTATATTTTTAGAATTGATTACTTTAAAGATAATATCATCAAATATTTCACACCGATGCTTGCGACACATTACAAATTCAAGACTAAAAGTGTTGACCCTCACTAATGTATCATTAGAACCGTGTTCAACACAGGTAATATCGTATTATGATTTGAATATTTGATTAAACAATAAGACATTCATAATTATAATTATTTACATAACAATTTTCAAAAAATAATATTTTTGAATTAAAATGTATTATGAATGAAATATATAATTTCATTATAAAAATATGAAAGCATTTAAAAAAATAAATATTATTTTAATTTACCAAAGCTGTTTTTGTTGCAGGCAGAATTCAATGAATTTGAACATAGTGTAGAAATTTTGAGTCGTGCTATTCCTAAGTTAACTGAACTTTGTATTCGTCTAGATAACATAAGTAGCCTGACAATTTGCAACTCATCCGATAGTTCAACTTATTTTTGGAAAAGTTTAAGGCCATTACTGAAATCATATTTTGAGAGGTTGAAGATTTTTAAATTAGAGACATGTTACATCAAATTAATGTAGTTTAGATAATGAGTATTATTTATATTATGTGTTCTTAGCTCTTATCCATAAAAATGTTGCTATAGAAAATATATTTTAAGTATTTTGATGTTATTGGCATTATGTTGGTTTCAAACATTAAGTTTGATTATTTATTGATAATTTTCATGTAGTATCATTAAGTTTAGTTATTAATTATTCTGTATGTAGAGTTATTGTATTGAATAGTTTTAAGTAAAACTTGTTGAAGTGTATAATACTGTAGAATGTTTTTTATTGTACTATGCTATAATAAGTACCTGGTTAATAGTTTTTACTATTTTAGTGTCAAAATAAATACACGTTAGACTATTTATTAGTAGGTATGTAATTATTAAATACTTCGATCAGATACATAATATTTAGCTTTACCGTTTTCGTCATATCATTATCTATACTCAAATACTAACTAACGTTAAAACCCTTCATTAATTTTCACATCACAAAAACATATTAGCAGAGCTGCGCTTATGATGCACTGTCATGCACTCATGCTACACTGCTGTTCGTGAGCACTGAGCACTCTCTAACAGTGATCACCCCAGGCACGCCCGCAGAGATGCAGCTCAGCGGGGGCAAACAAAATTTTTTTAAATAAAAACAAATTTAACTTTATATAAAATTACACTATTAGTTCTAATATTTATAAGAAAGAACATACTTAATACATTTTAAACAAAAAACCACTTTATTTAATTTAATTTATATCATATTATCATCATATTATTATTATTCAAAAAGTAATGACAATCTCCTTTTGTTTGAAGCAAACAAATTAATTGAATCATCAATTTGTTGATTCAAAAATTGTTTATGATCATACCTTTGGCGGTGTATATAGTATATTAATCAACCCCAAGCTACTCAGTTTTTCGTTTCCCATCCTATTTCTAATCCAAGTCTTTAAACGGCGTAAAGTGCTGAAACATAATTAAAAAGTTATTTTAAGTATGAACTTATACACTGAATACAATTTGTAAAAATACTGATTTAAAAACCGTACCTAAGCGATCGTTCTACTGAGCAGGAAGTTACAGGTAAAGTAATTGCAATTTGTATAGCTTGGCATACCGCTGGGTAATCGAGAATAATCGAGAATATCAATTAATTTCATGGTGGGTTCGACTTCTTTATTTTTCCATAGATCATACCATGACAATGCTTGTTCTTTTCGTCGTCAAGTTTTCGTTTTTTAATAGTTTTTGTTGATGTTGAGGTAGTCGAGCTGAAGTATTTCAAAATATTGTTTTTTGATTCTTTGCTCATTTTATGTGCGGTGGTATAAACAGATTATAAGACAAATTGAAAGCACTGCTACAGAGAATAGAGTACAGACTGACTGCGCAGACATTTCAATACGGTCAATTATGAAAAATGCTATCGAAAGGAAATGTGAACATATATTGGGAATTATAATTTGTAAGATATCGATATCGCAATCGCAGAAACCGCTAATCAGTTTTAATATTATATTATCTGTAATTCTGTCGTAAACGTCGTACATTATACGATATAATTTATAATCCCGTTTGCTTTATTGCTTTCCAAGTATTTTGATTTGATTATTATAATAATATGTTTTTCATACACGATTTCGGCAATTACGCCTAACCAGCCAAAAGTATTGAAAATAATCGTAATGTCTTTTATTGCGATTAAATACCTCCTATATGACTTGTTAGATACAAGGATTGTCGAATAGTCGCTCAAGATCAACTTTATGTAAAAAAACTTCCAATTTCGTAAGTGCCACGAAAAATCTCAGGGGGGGGGGGGGGGCAATGGCCCCCACTGGCCCCTCCCTCCGGGCGTCCCTGGATCACCCCTACCACAATATGTCTGATAACATGACTTTTTTATAAGTAAAAGCAGGAGGGGGGGTTGTGGTGGTATGTCCTTTATTATGGAAATGCGTCATTTAAGGTTTAAGTTCAGTCCGCCACTATCTAAAATAATACTATAAAATGTATGGTATGTATCAAAGTTGGTCAAGTTAATGAAAATAATTAACTCAATTTAAGTTAGGACACAAGATCGATAAGTTAAAAATGAATAGAGAAAATAATATGAACTTAACTCAGTTTAATAAAAGTTAATCTAATTTTTTAATTAGTATGTGGATCACATAAAAAGTGACGTGAGTTATTTTTAACTTCCTAAATTTGAATAATAATGTACAGTGTTACTGTGTTAGTACCTATTTTTTACTTTACATGATTATTAAATATTTTAACTATCCAAAACATCCCAATTAATAATTTAACAAATATTAAGTGTTTAAATCAAATAGCAATTTAAGGTCATATTATAATATGATGACAATCTAATCTACTATAAAAAATCTTTCTTTAGGAAAGTTAAGTTATTTCATCTGTCAATTCAATTATAGTCAAGTTTGTATGTTGATTAGAAAATTAACCAATTAGTTAAGTTAAAAAGTTTAAAAAAATATAACTTTTTAGCAAGCTAATGTGCCTTTGGTAAGTATTATAATTTAAATTATATTTAATATTATATCAATTATCAGTGCAACTGTGCAAGTATGTGACAGTAGTAGGTGGTTATTTTTACTGAAGTTCAACTACTCCAGTAGTGGTAACGAAGAACGATCGCCACCGCGGAGCATCACGGTAGTTAAGACGTATACCACGACTGGTCAGTGCCACTATTTCAGTAGGCTACTGAAATACTGAATGATTTAACAGTAAAACATATATTATAGAAATAGAAGAGGAGACATTTTTATAGATCTAATCTAATTTTAATAATTTTTGATATTATCCTATTTCGATATTTCATGATACATTTTTGATCGTTTAAACTAATTAACTGATTGGTAAAAAATATATAAAAAATCTCTTTTTCGATTTTAGATAAAATTCTCCTCTAGATATACAATTACAATTTTTATTTTTTATAACAAGCGTTTATAATACTTTATATACTGTTAAAATATTCAATAATTTCAGGAATCGAGCCGTTTGGTTGGAACATGAAATCATGTTTTTCAGTAAAATAAAGTTTTATCAGTTTATCACTTATCACGTTCCACATTTAACAATATTACACATTACGACAATACCGATTTATGTATTTTATTGGGTTCTGAGCGGAGCGATGAATGTACTGATTTTACAATGATGTGTGTTTTATTTTAGATAAAAAAAGTTAAATTCAAAAAATAAAGGCTCCTATACTACATTGTTACAATGACATTTGAAAAATATTAAAAATCCTTAATCACAGTTCTTTTCATAAGCATTTATAGTTCAAATTTTGACAAAATATTATTTTTAGTTAAGAATTCATACAAATATTTCTTTTTAAATCTAAGATTTGAAAATATAATGCATGATTCCTCATAAGTTTGTCTACCTTTATCAAAAAAAAAAAAAAAAAATATCTACAAGCACATCAAATTTATTTTTTTATAAGCGTTTGAAGGTCAAATGTTTACAACATTTCACTCGATTTCTCATGTAGCAATTCTGTTATTTTGTTGTAATTCAAAATTTCCAAAATAAATAACTATAGACACCTATATGACAATTTCACTGAATGTTTATATTTACATTTTCTATATGACATAAAGTTTTGTAAATATTTGAATCATTTTGAGTTGTTTAAGGACAAATTTCAAAATTTTTCTAAAAGCATAAAAAATATATATAGGTACAATAAATTGTAGGTACCTATTCGTTTTTTAAACAAGTTCTAAAATGTAATACAATGCTTCTCATATTATGTTGTTACAACAGCAGTTGAAAAATATTAAAAATATACATACCCCCGTTTATTTTATAAGCATTTAAAGTTCGAATGCAGACGAAATTTATCAAATTGGAAATTTACAAATTATTTAGTAGTTAAATAGTTAGTAGTAGTTTAAAATGTTCAACTTTTATAGCTAAGGATTGAACATTTTAAACAAGGTTCTACCTAAGTAGTTAATTCTTTAACCAAAAAACTAAAAATACACATAAATACAGTGTTTTTTTTAATAGTTATTTCAAGTTCAAATTTGGACGAAATTGCATAATATTAATAATAACCAAGAATAAGGATTTTAGTTATTTTTTGTAATTTTATTTTATTTTTAATTCAACTTACCGGCTACTTTTCTCACACCATGTTTGTTGTTGAACCAGGGGCGTGCTCACGGGGGGAGGGTTGAACCCCATTGACCGTATTATTTTTATTTTTTATTATAAAACAAATAATGCATCTTAATAAGGTACTTGTCAAATTATATTATCCTAACATTTCCCAATTCGTATTTTATCGTTAAATGCTTCCAACATCGAATATGTACACTGCAACGCAATTGCGTCTTACTATTTAATATGTATGTGTCAGCACTGTCAGTGTCAGCCTAAAGAATAGTTTGGTGTAAAATTGTAAAAACAACGTTTAACTTGTAATTGTTGTGTCGTTGTGTGCTGTAATGCTATATGTATGATTTGTTGAATGAAACAATTTTTTTTTTGTATCTACCTAGTACCTCTACTAGTACCTATACAAGCCAACAGTTAAAGCTGAACTACATATATGGTATACCTACCAAACCTAATAAGCATGTAAAATATCCAAAAAATTGTTTAGAAGCGTTGAGACAGCGTGATAAAGAAATATTTCCCAATAGGTATACATTTTCTTTTAAAAATACTATGCACTTTACCTGTTTCAACATCCAATCCCGAGAGAACGTTTTCTTGTCTCAAAAGATTGAAATCTTATCTACGAAACACAGTGACAGAGGTATTTTCTGGATATTAAAATAAAAATTTATATCAATTTTTTTGGTTTTAGACTCGACTTAATGGCTTAGCTAGGGCCTATGTTAGATGTTCATAAAGAAATTCCACTACCAGAAGAAGAAGTCTTAAATGAATTGAGCAAAAAATCAAGAAAATTAGATTTTGTTCTTTAATTTTTGAATGTAGGTATAAACTATATTGTATATAAGTATAATAGTTCCTGTA